TGGTCCATGTGTCCTTCTTATAATATGTACATTTAATAGGCCAATTAATAAAATCTGAATAATAAAAAGCCAGCAAAATGATAACAATATTGGCAATAAGATTGATGATATTAATTATATATTAGCCTTTTGACTAAATGGAAGCATGAAGAGAAAGATTTCAAAGTCAAAATTTTTTAACATGCCTGTGTTTTTTTCAAAGAGACAAGGAATAAACAAAGAAGATGAACTTACCCTTCTGAGGAAGATATGTCAGTGGTACTAAAATATGTCCATTAAAGAAAATGATAGTGTAAGTAAATATCAGGATATTGAAACTGAAAAATGCACTTTGAATATTGATAAAATTTGAAGTCCTTGGTGTAGTGAAATTGGCCATGGTTAAATGTAATTGGCAGAAATGCCTGACAAATGGGAATGAGAAACTTTGCAATAAACAATAACAAGAGAAAGAAAAGAAAAGAACAGAGCAAAAATAATATTAAGCAAGCAAAAAATATATGCAAGGCAAAGAAACTAATAAGCCAAAAATGTCAAACTATGAATAATCAACAAGTAAATGGGGATACAGACAAGCAATCCAATCACAGCATTCTGGTTTCTAGACATAAAAGACCAGAACTGAGTCTGGTGAGCCAGAGAAGTGATCTATCTTATTGGCTAAGAAAAAAATCCCAGTAAAATGCATCTGTGTGTTGTCCATAAATAGGGGAGCAGGAAGTCTTTTGCAGTCATTCCTATTATGGATTCAAACCAACACCTGTGTTGTTCTATACAATTTTTCTCGCCAGAATCTATCTTACATCTTTATCAATCTACCAATCGTCTGTGAATTGAATATTGTTGGGGCTTCTACAGATTTATGACAAAATCCAAAGAAGAACTTGCAATGTTATTAAACCTTGACCTGGCATCTCGTTTTCAGTCACTTTCCCACTGCTGTAACGTAGCATTGTTTTGCTTTTTTTCATAAACAGTTTTATGGTAATCATTCTGATGAGCTTTCCTCTTTGGTACCTCGACTTCATGAATTTAAAGTGATCACAGTGTTCTGATTTTAAGACAAGGAAGAACAGAACTAAGTTGGATGAGACTAAGAAGTGGTCTATCTTATTGGCTAGGAAGAAATCCCAGCATGCATCTGTGTGTGTTGTCTATAAATTTAGGGAGGGGAATCTTTTTGAAGTCATTCTTACTGTGGATTGGAACCAACATTTAGTAGAATCCAAAAAAGGTACAGACAATAACATTATTTTTGCCAAGATCTCTGGTAGCCCCTGTTTACAAGACACTCAAAAGATTTCACTGTGTGGAACTGCTCATCTACTCAGGGGAGTATTACCAGTGGAAAGAAAATATAAACACTGTATATGTTAAGTATCACTTATCATCAGAATTTGTGCAAACAGAATGCATATATTTAGTAAGTTGCCTTACTCTCAGTTTCAGGTAATGAACTAGTAAGGAAGTTTACTGAACTGAAAGCCAAAGAAGAAAGTGATGATGATGATGATGATGATGATGATGATGGTGATGATGATGATGATGATGATGATGATGATGATGATGATAGTAGTAGTAGTAGTAGTAGTAGTAGTAAATTTTCTCCAAAAAGTTCTTGATCTGTGAAGAGTTATTGACATGCATCACAAACAGAATTTCCATTGGTTACATCAACATGCTACATCAAAATAATCTATCTATCTATCTACCTTTTTATCTATCTATATAATACTAAAAGTCTGTGATTGCGTGCGTTCTGGTGTGGTGCATAATAATTTACGAGTTATTTATAAAGTAAGTATTTTTATTTTAACTTTCTTCAGACAAACAATTTTTTTTAATTAAAATTTTTTCAAGTTAAAGACAGACACAAAGAGATCTGACTGCTGTTTGATCCAATTGCTTGTAGAGTCAGGCAGTCAGTTATGCCATGCATGATACACACTTAGGCGATCATGTATCTTTTGATACATGACTGACAAGGCAGATTTTTTCCTGTAGTAGGTTGCCATTTATTTCTGCAGTAGACCAGTTGCCATCCAAGGCTAAAGGATCCAGTTTATTTACCCAGCTATGGGGGGGGGAGAGAAGAAAAGGATTCATGCCTTTCCCAAGGGTATTAGCACATAAGTGAATGTAATGGATTCGACAGGAATTCAAACTCAGCTCTCGATTCCTCAATCCAAGCTGCTATTCATTAATCCAACATACCTGATTCCAGCTTTCTTTAAACAAACGATATCTTAAATATTTAAAAAATATTTTTTGGTATATTAAAAAAATATTTTTAAGTTAATCTGATTTAAAATTCAAGTTTATCCCAGAAGTTCTATTCTTATTAAATGTTGTAAACAATCAGTAAAACGTTAAACATGAACTTGTAAACCAGACCGATGATGATACAAACGAAACGATGATGATGATGAAAAAAATTGTAATTTTCATGGAAAAGCAACAACAAAAAGTGGTATAGTTATCATCCAGACTTAGTAACTGAAATAGGAAATATAATAATATTATTGGATTTAAGAATACATGCTGATAGGACAATAAAATCAACCTGATCAGACATTGTTATAAAAATCAAAAACAACAAATTGTATCTCATGATAGACATGACAAAAACTAGCTGACTGTAATCCACCCTTTAAAATAGTTGAAAAAGTTTTCAATGTACAAAGATCTTGAAACAGAGATTCAAAAGATAGGGAGAATGAAAGCCACTATTATTCCAGTAGTGATAGGAGCACTCAGCCTAATAAACAAAGGAAGTGACAAATTCTTAGACCAAATACCAGGTAAACCTTGTCTTAAGGAAAATGAAAAAAAATCATACTCACCATTACTAGCCACATCTTATGAAGAACATTGTCAATGCAAAATTGGGAAAGGATATTGTTTGTGTAGATTTGAGGTTATATTTTGTTTCTTGCAGTTAGTGGATATAATTTTAACTTCTGTACTGATTTTAATCATCTTGATCTGTAAATAATGAATGAACTTAAAAATCAAAAATTAAAGACAATTATATGTTGATTTTCATTTCAGTCTGTTATGTGCCATGTGTGATACACACTTAAGCAATCATGTATCAAAAGATACATGACTGACGAGGCAGATATTTTTCCTGCAGTAGGTTGCCATTTCTTTCTGTGATAGATCAGTTGCCATCCAAGGGTATAGAACCCAGTAGAACCCACTGGGGGTGGGGGAGAAGAAGAAGATTCATACCTTTTGTAAGGGTATTAACATGTATATGAATGTAACAGATTTGAGTGGAATTTGAACTTGGCTCTCCGGTTCCTCTATCTGAGCTGCTATCCATTACTCCACTGTGCCTTTTTATATATGCTTACATAATGAAATTATGTGTCTATCATGTAATGTGTCATTAAAATGTGTTTTCTCAACAATTTAATAAGTATCAGTGGATTTTGCTAAATAAACTGTCATGACAAACATTCTCTCACCACATGTCTCTGATTGGAACAGGGTGGGATGCATATGTATATACATACATACATAAAAAAAATAATAATAATAAATTTTTTTAAAAATTGTGTTAGCCTGAAATTCAGACATTTTATAAATATCCAGAAACAATTGAGTATTTTGTATCCGGTTGCATGGTAATAGCACCTACCGAATATAAAACACTGGATGATAGAGTGAGTCAATATCTGCACTGGAAAATCTGCAACCTTTAGAGGAAGGAAACTGCAGGAAACTTGTATGAACATCATCTAGACCTCGTTACAGACGAAGGACCTGTAACAATTTTTAAGGGACTTTACAATACACACACACAGAATAATCAAAGCTATTCACCTAGACATCTTGATCAAAGACCACAAAAACAAAATGTGCTTTTTTATTGACATGGCAGTTCCTACAGACGGAAATATAACTTTGAAAATCTTTAAAAATCTATTAAAATACAAGTGGAAATTTAAAAAAAGTAGCACATAAGTATATCAATAATTAGAGTTGGAGTTGGAGCCCTCAGATTGATTGAAAAAGGTTCCAAAAGACTAATTTAAGAGATTCCTGCTAGTCCATGCCTTAAAGAAAGATACAAAAATTGTACAGTACAGCTCATACCTTACAAAGGGCTTTATGTAAAATGTATGTGATCTTAGGATGTCTATTCTTTTTTTTTTTTTTAAAATGTTCATTGGAAAATGCTGTTTCTGGCCTTAGGTTTCTGGTTGGGACCCAGAAAGAAATGATTATACAACAGAGATCAATTGAAATAATAAAATAATAATAATATTAAAACGTGCTTTCTCAACAATAGAATAAGCGTAAGTATCAGTGAGCGTTTTTTTTTTTTAAATCATTTCACCCCAAGCAATGCTACTAAGATGCCAGGGGGTTGCTGAGAGTGAAAGAGAATGGGAAGACTTTAGTTAAGGACAATAAAAGAACAAAATTCAGGAAGGCAGAAGATGTCAGTGTATATTGCATTTAAATTTTTTGTAAGATCATAGGTGGCAGGGAAGCAGGAAACTGGAAGATCATTCCACAGGTGAGAAGTGTGAGAAAAGAAACTATTAGAATCATACTTACAGTTACATCTACAGGAAAATGATGAAACTTATTTGCCAATGTAGTAGTACACTTAAATTCAAGTAGTCGAGGAACGAAGGAAGAATAAATTGTCACAGCAAAGCATTTCCTCTCACCGTAGATAGCTGATCAGAACATGATGGGATGCATATATATATACAGGTATCAAATAAATGATAATAATAATAATAAGTTTATACGTTTACTTAAAAATTAATATTTGATAAGATTCATTGACTACTAATGTAGACAAAAATAATGGCACAAGTAATAAATGCAATATAAATAATTGATCAGTTTGCTTTGCAGATGAAATGTTGTCAGATAAGCAATAAAAAAAACTTGATAAATGGGGAAAAAAATCATTACTTTTTGGCTTTTTTACAAAACAGAAAAATAAACAAACCCTTATCTCCTTACAATTAAGCTTACAGCCATATCATCTTGAAATACCAGTTCTCATATGGTCACCGAAGTTAAGCAATGTTGGGACTGGTCAGTACCTAGATGGGTGATTACTTGGGAATATCAGGTGCTGTAAGCTTGGATGTGCGGGTCATGTAATGGATAATAGCCTGGAATTATTAATCAGAGAGATGAGTTTCAATTCTACTCAGCTTTGTTATATCCACTTATGTGCAAATACACTTGGAAAATGTATGAATCCACCTCTTCTCCCTCCAGCTATGGGTTAATTAGTAAGACTTGTATCAATAAATCATGATTATCTCACAAAAAATTCTTACAATCTAAAAATATTTAAATAACCCGAAAAAGGTTGATGAGCCATAAAAAACAAATTAATCAATCAAAATCTTTACAATTAATTTTTTGGTGGATATGGCTTTGCTGGTAAATTACAGAGTGAATGGGAAGAATAATAAGAAACTAGGAAGGTACCAGGACCTTGCCTGGGAGCAGAGAAAGATATTGAATGTGAAAGTTAGAAACATGCTTATAAGAGTAGGTGCACTTGCAACTATGCAAAAAACACTGGAATTGGTATTGGATGAGTTGGAAATGCAAGAAAATTTTGAGACTGTACAGACCATAGGATTGCCTGGGATCATAATAATACTGAGAGAGATGCTGGAGATTTGGGGGATCAGCAGCCACTCTATCTTCAGTGATGAGTACCAGATATTTAGTATAAATATGAAAATGCATGAATAATAATAATAATAATAATAATAATAATAATAATAATAATAATAACTGACAGGGAAATAAAAGCCAATATTCAAACTGAAAGGAAAATAACATCCAAAAGACCTGATATTATCATAAAAGACAAGAAATTCAGGAAGTGTATGCTTATTGACATAGCAGTACAATCTGAGAGAAACACCTCCATGAAATTTATCAATAAATTGTCCAAATACAAGAACATAGAGATCGTGATTAACAGGATTTTTCCAATAGTAATCAGAGCTCTGGGCATCGTGAGAAAAGAAAGGGACAAATTTACTAACAGTATCCCAGGTAACATCAACATACAAGTTGCCCAGAAAATCACCCTATTAGGAATATTCCATATACTAAGAAAAGAGCTATCAATTAAATGACAATTCCCCTATATGATCTAAGGACCATAGTTTGGACCCGGCTCTACAGGATGCAAAGCAGGAAACATAACATACAGAAAAGAAAAAAATATATATATAATAATTTGACATAGCAGTACCATCTGAGATAAACACCTCCATGAAAAATATCTAGAAATTGTCCAAATATAAAGACCTAGCGATCGAGATTAACAGGACGTGGGGAATGAAGACTGAGACTGTATTAATCTAAGATATGGGCCTCATGAGAAAAGGAGTTGACAATTTTACTAAGAGTGTCCCAGGTAACATCAATATACAAGTTTCCCAGAAGATTGCCCTACTAGGGACACTCCATATACTAAGAAAAGTGCTATCAATTAAATGACAATTCTCCTATAAGGTCTAAGAGCCATAGTTTGGACCCGGCTCTGCGTCTGGGGACCTACAACTTGAACACCCATGATGCAATATCTCTGGAAAGTGAAAGCCAAGCAAATGAAGACAATAATAATAATAATAATAATAATAATAATGACAATAATATCAAGGTCAAGGAAACTGACAAGTTTCAGAAATATACTGACCTTCAAATTATAGTTGCCAAAACCACCAAACTTAGTCCTACACTGAGAAAATCAGAATAAAGCTTAGTATCCCATCACATCAGAAGTCTTTATTGCTTTGTACTACAGTTTGTGAAAGGTGCTATTTTAAGTCATTTGACTTGAAGGAGAGTACCCATAATGCAAGATCTTTGGTTGAAAACAAAGACAAAAAAACATACAAAAGAAGAAAGTAGTATAATAATAATAATAATAATAATAAAATTAAGAAAACAGTAGATTCTTAAAAGAAATCATCTTCATTATGAAAGAAACAGATAAAAAATCCTCAACCAAAAGATACAGCTGAAATCATAAAAAGGAAGCTAAGATATAAAGGTTAAACAATTGAAAAATCATCTGGGAACAAAACTCTGTACATGGCCAATATGTACTCAGAAGTAAACAATGCCAGTATAAATTAACACAAAACCCATCAGTGGCTGAAGAGTGTAGATCTATAAGAAGAGACAGAGGCATTTATAATGGCTGCACAGGAGCAAAGTCAATTCACCAGGAATTACCAAGCAAACATAACAAAAAATGGTGTAGACCCAATATGTAGACTAAATGAACAATATTTTGACAGTGTTAACCACTTAGTATCTGGTTGTCCAATCCTGCCACCAAAGGAATATATAGATTGACATGAGAATATTGGGCAGAATATTCAGTGGAAGATATGTCAGTATTACAGTGAAAAATCAGATGAACATCATCCTGAAACAGTCATAGAAGCCCCTGATTCTCCATTCTTTGGGACTTTACTATTCATACTGGCAGGCATATAAAAGCTAATAGCTCAGACATTGTGATTAAAAACTACAAGCAAAAATGCTTTGTCATAGATATGGAATTGTTTTAGATGAAAATATATATGTTAAAAAACATGACAAAATAAGTAAATATATAGAAATTGAAAAAATGTTACACCTTAAAACTTTTCTTATATGTATAATAATTGGAGTTGTGGGTATGATCAAGAAAGGTACAAACAAGCACATTAACAAGATCTCTGGTAGCCCCTGTTTACAAGACATTCAAAATATTGCACTGTGTGGAACTGCTTATCTATTCAGGAGAGTAACGGTGTAGTAACAGATAGTGGCTCAGATTGAGGAATTGGAGAGCCAAGTTCAAATTCCAGTTGAATCCATTAGATTCACTTACATGCTAATACCCTTGGAAAGAGTATGAATCCTCTTCTTCTCCCACCAACTACGGGTAAATAGCCTGGGTTCTATAGCGTTGGATCTACCGCAGAAAGAAATGGCAACCTACTGCGGGAAAAAAAATCTGCCTCATCATTTATGTATCGAAAGATACATGTATTGCTTAAGCAATCTCTTGGAAGTTGGTTTTGAAAAATAGTAGTTTGTGGGAAGAATCTGTTCAAGTGGAACTTTCATCTCACCCATGACATACAAAGGTAGTTTTCATAACAAAATGACCTGAAGGTATTTTTAACTGGACCACGCCGAAAAGTCATATATTGCATTTATGAAAACTTGTCACTGCAGTGCATACATTTGGCTGTGATGCATGACCTTGGTATACCCCCTTATCGGACTGAGTGTCATGAAAACACTTGGCTTTGTATATTTGTATGCCAGCATCATTTTGTTTATATTCTATTTCATGCAATAATAATGATGATGATAAAAATACATTGCTGACCAATGTTGAATACAACTAAGTAAATTGTGATATACATAGATACATCAATATACCTAAATATTTATGTAGCCCAAGACTTCTTCATTAACCAGAGAAATAAAACATTATACAGTAAAAATTTCAGATCAAAATCAGCTGTGTTGGGCTGTAGACTTATTGATACCACCTTGTAATAAAAAATTAAATAACAAAAGTTGTTTTACTTTTGGTCATGCATAATAATGAGGAAAAGTTCAATATTGCCTGAAAAAAAAATTTACCAAATATTAGAAAGATGTGAAATGTTCTTACAGCATTCATTAAATAATTATCACAAATAATATAAATAATTAAAAAAACATGCAAGAAACAATACCGAGTTTCACGTTAGACTTGAGGCTGAAAACCAATCGATATGGCGACCTGATCAACCCACAACACTTTTGATAAATAACACGTTAACAACGTCCCAACAAAATAAATGACAACAGTTAGACATATACAATGATTCCATGTTCCTCCAACCCTCCTTACTCTCCCCATTATGGCTTCGTGAACATTTCTCTCCTCTCTTTCTTTCGTAGTCATAACAACAGCAGCCGACGCTCACCACTAAGACAACTGCAGCGAATACGAAAACTAATTTTGATTGGTTAATTTTGGCATTTCCTCCTTAAAGTTATATGGACGATAAAAAAGTATTATTAATAAAATTTAAAAAAATAATTTTATATTTTTAAAGTAAATTTATACCGATAAAACTACTTGTTTATTTTTAACAATTTATTTCTTTTTGCCCATGACAACGGAAAGACGCTTTTCACTTCAAATAACTAGAGCATCCATATTGTGTGGAATATAGTCTGCATCTCCAAATTTTAGTCGTAGGTATGGAAAGTTATTATTTTTTTAATATATATATTTTGTCATGAGAAACATCTATTGAAATGTTCTTTGTGGGGTTTGATTTTATTACATTTTCGCGAGAGTAAGAAAAAAAAACGTTATAACTTTCAAATTCAATTCATGCTGAATCTTGTTATTCAGGTAAAAAAAAAATGTTTACAAAAGAAAGTCGGCATAATTCGGTCAGTAATTATGAAACAATGTATGTTTTAAAATAGGACCTGGTTTGTTTCAGATTTTATTTTTAATCTGCAAATTATAATGAACAATTTTTCAGCTATATTTTTTGTTTGACAGTTTCTTTTTTTTACGAACCACGTGAAACTCGAATACAAGAAAAAGGTGAAAAAGAAAAAAACTCAATTTTAAAAGTTTTTAACTTTCCCGGTAAACAAATATTGTCTGTCTCTCTGAAAGTGTTACTGTCTTTTAAAAATATCAATTTTAATTAAATGTTTAAATCATTAAATTATCTTATCATCGTTATCTTAAATAAAACTTTATTCAATATTTTGATAACTAAACATTTTTTTTTTTTTTTTTTAATTAAAAATAAATTTTATTTCATTGTCAGAACAAAACTAAACTGGAAAGTAGCCACAACTTTTTTTTTTTTTTTGGATCTGATTTGTTGACACTTTTTTGAAAAAGTTTTAAATTTTCATTACCAGTTTTACACCGTTGACGCATGCAAAAAAACAAACTTTTTATTAACCAAAATTTCGAACGTGTTAGAAAGGAGTAAAAAAATTAAAAAAAAAATACAATTAAAAAAAACACTTAGGTGCGTAAAATTTTAGTAAGTACGAAGGATTGCATTGAATCAAAAGT